AGGCGTGTTTGGGTTGTAACCAAATCCCCTATGGATAAAGTCCTAGTAGTCTCTAACAGTTTGAAGAAGTGTAAGATGGACAGAAAGGTGAAGGTACTTCATTCTGATTTTGATAGGAGATACAAGATGGACCTGTTTCTGTATTGGAGCCGAGCTCACGGTATTTTAGGACACTTTGTTGGAAAGGAAATCTTGAGGCAACTAGATAGGGTGACAAATTTGAAGAACCGTACCTTGCTGGAGGAGGATCGGTGTTTGTTGTCAAGCAATGGTATACAGAAGAGTTTCTGGACTGAGGCTTCGATATATTTGGGTCATCCTATTAAAGAGTTGTCAACTGTTGTGATAGGAGGTAAAACTCAGTTAGGTGTTTGGTCCGATAGTGTCACTTCGGTTGAGGCTTCGATGAGGGAGCTAATTGACTCTCAGCAGGTGGAGAGTTTTGGACAGACCTTAGATGTATCACAGCGGGTGGAGTGTGATGCTACTCCACATTGGGTGAAGATTACTCCAGATCATACTATATTGTTTGGGATTCCAGCTGAGGTGACACAGGTTAGGGATCATTTGGATTTTAGGTGCAGATGATGAGTTGGGTTTTGATTCGAGGGCAGCTGATAAATGCAGTTTGGATATGACCATTGGTTCACCTCAGGTGGAGGTGTTTGAGGCCATTGGAGGTGCTATCAGCCGCAGAATTGATGATATTAGAGAAGGGTTGCGAACTCTTCTATTAGATTGAGGTCGTTCGCGGCCATTTGAGTAAACTACGTGAGGCTTGATTCCTTAGGCAAGAGGATACATAAGCAGTCTTTATGATGCAGCCGGGTTGGATTTTGATGGGGTGAGATCAATTTGGGAGTTGATACCGACATTGGGAGTGTTTACATTCTCATTTGGGTTCTCTATTTGTTGTGGATTGAGTCCGTTGTCGTGAATTGTTTTACTTCGTACTGGACGTAACAAGTGAGACATTTGGTTTGTTTGGTGTCGGCTCAGTTTTGGGAAAACTTCACCGAGGTGGAGAATTGTGAAACAACGTAAAGCTCCGTGTGAAAAGATAACACAACGTGTGAACATGGGGGACAAAAACGCGTGAGCTGGTGAGGTGAACGCGGGGGCCACGAGCTGGCAAAGCTATCAGGAGACGTGTTTTGTGGAATAGGCTATAAATAGGAACATTGTTTTTTTAGCCTAGGTTTTTGTGAGAAGGCTGAGGGGAAAAACGGCAGTGTGCAAGTGCAAAAAGGAAGGGAGTAGTGCAAAAAGCAGAGGGGTGCAAGTACGAGTAAAGTCGGCTGATTTGGATTTCGGCAGCGCGCAGGCAGCGGCTTTCTTTGGCTCCGTGCAAACAGGCTTTTGTGCTTTTGAGAAAGATAATTGTGTGAGGGTTTAGATTGAGTGATTATAAACCCTAGTTGTATTATCTCCTCTCTAATAGTAGATCCCCCCCTCCTTGCCCGTGGACGTAGGCAGTTTGCCGAACCACGTAAAATTGTGTGATTTGTGTTTGTGGCAATTGTAATAGTTTTAGGATCCCTCGACAAGTTTGTCCTAGAACTGATGAGAGGAAGAGCCGATATCTCACTTTGTTGAGATATCTGCTTCAGATTCTTGTTTTCTTGGTGAGACAGGAATTCTTATTGATCTTTCTCTCTTATTGTGCACCAGAAACTCTGCCGAAATTTCTGCTGCGCACAACATTACGCTCACACCAAATGTTATATACTGTTGAAGATAGTGCCATTCTCTTCATTTTTTTGTTTGAATCCCCTCCCCCTTAGCCTGGTGTTATACCAGTTCAAAATGTGATTCTAGTTACAAGACCTCCATTTATACTAAAGTCAATCCATAATACGAGTCCAAACATCCCTTGAGAAGTAGTATTCAAAGAATAAGTGATTTCTGCTTTCCATATCTGCACCAGAACATAAACAACAAAGATTGGTATTCACAATCCCCTCCTAAGCAATCTATCTTCAGTATGCAACATGTCTTGAACATCTAACCAACATACAAAGGAGTGCTTAGGATAATTCATCTTCTCCCAGACTGTGTCATGCCATGGGACCTTGTTTGATACAGGGAAGAGAGCAAAGTATAGAGCAGATAGTTGAATTTTTGAATTTTTGAACAAGAGCATATGAGTTGTTTCAGATTGTCAACACCGCCATAGAAACTCAATGCTTTATCTTTGACTTTTAACAGCTAGTTCCACATCCATGAATCACCAGTTCTTACAAGCACTTGCCAAATATTCCTGTGTTTTAAGTAGGTGCCATGGATCCATTTAATCCACAAGTACTCCTTGTTGACATGAATGTACTAGAGATTTCTCAGGGCAGAAGCAAAATTCCAGAGAGAAGCTGAAAAGATACCTAAACCTCATTGCTTTCTCCCCAAACATGCTTTATCCCATGAAACAAGAGGAGCCCTGAGAACTTGATCAGATTTCCCCCATAAGAAGTTCCTACATAATTCATCAATTTTCTGAAGAACTTTAGCAGGTAAAATATAGCTAGATGTCCAATATATTTGAACACCTAGTATAACACTTTTAACAATCTGCAATCTTCCAGCATATGGTAGGTTTCTGTGATTCATCCAATTTTGGTTTCAAATTTATTAGAATAGACTCAACTATCACTTGGAGTTCTAGTTTGTTGATATAACCAAATAACAAAGACTAAGCTACATGATATACGAATTCGGTTCCTTTTGCGTAGTGGTGTATAATTTTTTTATTCTATTATCCAAAATTGGTATATCTAAACAAATAATACATCACATTAAATTATGTTTGGATTCGCAATGCCAGTGGAATCCAAGTTAGTTAGCATCATCATGCCTACAAGTATATATGTCTATCTTGTAGTCGATTTGGTTTGATCAGGTCATCGCCCAAATGTTAATTTGTTGAGTTCCGATCAAGATAAATTCGCTGCCATATGTTTTTTCTACTGAACAAATAAGAACCCAATCAATTTGTAAAACCCAGAATGAGGATTCATAGTCTCAACACCTCGAATTTGCTTGACAAAATTAAAAAAAAAATCATCCTAGCTTACGCCGTGTGTGCATTCTCTCCCTCTCGGTTACTAATAATGACACCATAGAAAATACATTTTTGAGCAGGACTAATTGTAAAGCAAGCCTTAAAACGTAGCGCCGTCAATTTATATGCAGAATGTTTCCAGGCAACAATTTCTGCAAACTTTTTTTTTGAACTGAAAAAGCAGGGTTAAAAGCCCCGCTCATAAAACGATTATTATTAAGAAACAAAGATAAAAACAGATACAAAAGAGCATCACAAACTAGATATATAGCTCAAATGGATGGTAAAACGAATGATTTTGCCCAAATATATTTGGTGTTTGCTTTGAATCTGTTGTAGCGAGATGGTGATCCGTAACTATATGTAGTAGTATTATTATTCACCCTAGAGAAGGGAGAGGTGCACTGATTGCAACTGTTTTAGCCTTGGTTTTAGTTGTTTAGAATCCCATTGCTGCGCACAATATTTGGACGAAGTGTGAATTTTTGTACAGCACGTGATATTTATGTAGTTGCCTGATGAGTATAATCAAAATTTTAACACAATTTCATAATATATCATGAACTACGCGTTGGTGCATATGAATCTGTATCAATATGCGAACAAAAGATGAAATATAACTATTGTATATATAAAATAAAATAAATAAATAAAACATTTTGGATTGGTGCATAGGTAACTTTCTGTGGTAAGCATTGATGGAAATGCTAACAAAAGAGATTCTGAAACCAGAGAAAGAATCGCTGTAGAAAATTGACAGATATCGTCATTGAATCAAATACACAATATTACTAAAGAACAATGAAGACAACAATAGGACATACCTATTGAAGAATGCGAAATTGCTATGAAAAATTATGTAAATAATTGGTTTATATATTGGTAGGCGATGTTGCACATGAGAGAATAACAATTATAAATAGGATTATTTGTGGATACCAAAATAAAAAAAAATTATATATCACTACGCGATAGTAATCGAATTCTTATATCATGCAGCTTAGCCTTTGTTATTTGGTTATATCTAGAACTCAATGTGATAGATGAGTCAATCCTAATAAATTTGAAATCGAAATAGCTGTCAACCTTATCTCCATTATCCAATAATAACATGCTAAGTCCTATTATGAATATGATAAATCAGTTAATAATCAAACCCAAACCAAAGGAGCAAATCTTGCTACAATCTCGGCCAAGTCCAACCAAGCTATTATATTTGAAATTATGTAGGATAATTAGGGTTAACATTTAATATTCAAAATAGTTAAGGATAATATTCACTACGAAAATCTTTTTCTAAACCCACGCTTTTAAAAGGAGTAGGATATGATATGATAAAATATGATAGTATATGTTTATGCTCTTTATTTATTTTATAATTTCAATTACATGGGCTCAAAGTTTCTTTCATGACATTCGGCGACATTAAATGTTCTAGAAAGAAAGAGGGTGGAAAAAGAAAAAAAATCGTCTCATCTCATCTGTTGTAAAATTGCATAGAATCTTCTAGAAGGAGAGAGAACAGAAAAGAGGAAAAAAAATTATCCCATAACAAAATTAAAACTTTACCCTTTTCAAACAATAGAAAAGTATGACATGTCCATCACTCATACATATTTTTACTGGAAAAGGATAAGCATATTAGAAGAGTTGTACTACTCTAATACTACTAGACATAAAGAAGTGGGATCCATATGAATTCATAATCTCTTTGTAATTTACAAGGAAATGTCCTACTTTTTGCATAGGAGTAAAGAGTAATATAACCCTTGTGTACAATTATCACTACTCATTTTTATTACCCTTCATTAAGTTTTTTTATATAGTAGTATAAAATATATAGATACCTAAAAACTAAAAGCCCGCTAATTCTATACTTTAGGAGTCCTATTCTGTTAAAAGCAGTTTTTCCGTGCGATAGATAGGCTAATAAGATATATGCAGGGGTACATTTGAAAAACAACCATTGAACCCATACAAAATCCCCGCCCCTCTCTTAAACCCTAACCTCTCGAGAGACGCAGCAAACGTTATTGAGAGCGCTTTGGTATGTAAAATTTTTCATATTTCATCCAGATTAGGGTTTTTTTAATCTAATTATGTCAAATTTTGTGATCTCAGAGTTTGGAATTTTTGGAGATATATCACCATGTATCTTCAATTTTACATAAACGACAACGGGGACAAGGTTTACACAACCAAGGTGCCTGCTTTAATTTCTCTCGTCTAGTTTTCTTGAAATTTTTTTTGTTTTTTTTTTTGAAAAAAGGACAACTTTATTGTTAATGAGCCATTATTAGCTGTGTTGAAGAAATCTCAAATGTGAAGTGAGATTTTGTTCTTATAGAATGTTTGTCATAGTTTCCATATTCCTATTTTGATGGTTTCATACGTTTATTGTTAGGATTGTGGGTTTGACTATTATATGTAAGAAATTAGGAAAACACCATCATTTTGTGAAAAATTGTTTTCCTCGAAAGCGTATGAAAATATTGGAAGAGAATTGTAGCTACTTTTTTTTGCCCCGCTTAAATTGCAGGTAATCCTCCTCATCTATACCTTTAAAATCATGAGGGAGAGGGCGGTGCCATGCAATTTATTCTTCGAAAAGTATTATTCCAAGGGTACTTAAATACTAATAAAATAGTTGAGGACTTGAGGAGCGATGAGTGCTACTGAAGATATAGATGAGGGGAGTTATCTGCAATTTACTCTTTTTATTTTTTTACTTCCCATAGGATGTGGCTTCCAATTTTATACCGAGCATGTTGTTCTTGCTGCATGGTCTTGTATGTTGTAGGATTGCTTGCCATTGGGATTAAGAGTTCAGATCTTTGAAGTTTACATAATTTTGAGAATAGTAATATTAGGAGCTTAATAGAAAATGAAGATAAACGTTGCCCTGTATATCATTTATTGTTGTGCAACTCTTTGTGTAACATTTGCAAGCATCTGCTTCTACGACTGCCTATTTCTTGTAGAAGGGAAAATGTAATATTTATTAAGGATGTTTTCTTTGGGATTTGTGAGCGTGTTTCATCTTTATGACATTCTTTTTGCAGAAAGAGTCACCACTTGGGTTGGCAACACAGTCTGCTCATCCAGGTATATTAGATTATTTTGCCCTGCTTTCCATGTTATTCTATGCTGAGACTTCTCTGCAACATGTTCACAACTCTATTGTACCTAAAGAAGTCTATTATCTATCGCATGTGTTTTATAATATTGTCATTTTGTTTCCCTTTTAAGGGTTTTCATTACAAGTTATATAAAAACGAACCTGAATAAAAAAAGCTTGGTAGCTGGTGAATAGAATGTACATTGAAGTCTAACGTCTTCTTGTTTACACGCTTCTCTATTCCCTTGTCTTGTTCTTCCAATGTCCTGCTTGTCCTAACTATTCAAATTTGCTAAGCAGTTAGCAGTCTTCTTTAAATGATATGTATAGAGCCTTAAATCCTTATTTTTATAATCATGCAATCTAGTATCTTGGTATTAGAGCAATCTTGAATCTCTTACTCATCTTTCCTTTATTTTTCAACATCTCCGTACTGCTATTTTCTTGGATGTGGGTAGCAATGCTAATGCAGAAGCGCCCATCTCTCAAAAATTTGATATTTTAGTTAAAGAAAACTGACATACATATAACTTTGATACTTGAACCAGACCTCCTGCGTTTAATTGAAGAAACAATAACATCAATGCATGAAACAGAATGGAACGCTAGTATGATGCCCAAAGTGTGGAATTTAACACCTAGACCTCAGCAGGAGTAATTTGACTGTTAGATATGATTGATGGGAATTTTTCTCCAACGCTGCCAACTCTCAGTAGCCCCAAACAAACCCTTTGGTAAAAGAGCAGCCACTCATTGTGGTGGTGCAAGTGTTGATATTTGTTAATGCTTTCAATTTTGTTCTAGACCTGACCAAGTTGCTCCTAAAAATATAGTCTGGATGCTAATCAACCAAAATGAAAGGCATCCTTAACAATGATGATTTTCGCTATTAGTTAGTGATTGGCTCTGTAAAACAGTTCTCAAGCACCATTTCTTTTGTGAATCTATCAACTGTTAGCTGTTTCAATTCCTCCCTCCCTACTCAATATGTTATAAATGTGTTTATGAGTATACTTCCCACTGCATTTTCCTCCCTGGCTCGAAATGGATTAGGCATTATGCTTATCAGATTGACAATTTTCTTGAAGGAATATGCTCACGTGAGTCCTTCATGTGTATCTGATAATCCCCAAGTCAATATCAGTTATGAGCTTATACTTATTGGTTTGACTTCAGTATATACTACGCTTCCCTTGTTTGGAGGTTTGTACAATAAGAATGTTCCTGATCTCTGTGACATTCTCTTCAAATGGTACAATTGCATTTGTAATAATGATTCATGGCAACATTGATCTTTTTGACATTCTCTTCAAATGGTAGAGTTGCATTTGTAATCATGACTCATTGCAACATAGAAAATCTGCCATCAAATCTCTATGATGATGATCGAGCCACAATTTTCATATGATAACCTCATCATATTGTTCAATCCATTTAAACTGAAAAATATATATTAAACCTTGGTTGGAAGAAATTACATCAACCTCTAGCTTTCTTTATCTTAAAATTTCTAGTAATTTTCTTTTACTTATGTACGTCTTATTCATTTTTCTTGGAAACTCTTGTGCTCTTATTGTTCGGGTCTTGATACTTTTCCTTGTGCTGCTTAATTGTAGATTCTTCTGTATTTTCTGGTTGGACTTCTCCTGATTGTTTTCATTTCTTCTTTTCTTGCAGCTCGCTTTTCGCCAGATGACAAGTACTCTAGGCAGCGAGTTCTTCTGAAGAAACGCTTTGGATTACTTCCAACACAAAAACCTGCTCCCAAGTACTGATATCCAGGATTCAGATAGTTCTATGGAAACTCAAGAAAAAAGTCCACTTGGGTTTAAGGATCACAGATAATATTTTTGTGGTGTTTGCAGTTTAATATGATACATTTCTACGCACTTCATGGGACTATAGTGGTAGGGACGTGTACTAGTTATCAACTAGTTCTCAGTGACTATAAAATGTAATCTTTTCTCTGAATCCATACTATTATAGTAGTTTTTTTAGTCTTGAAGCTTAATTTTGTTTCATTGCTTTGGTTTTTGCTTTTTGGGATTTTGTTTGCGACAATACTTTCAACTTGCTTTGATTTGGAGCTTAAGTTTGATTAGAATGCTTGGAAAGTTCAAAGTTATTGCTCAGTATAATATGCTGTTGAGTGTCCAGAAATTTGAGTTTAAGGACCTTGTTTGGATTTGTCTGGAGTGAAGGGAAGTTAAAGTGAACATAAGATAAATTAAGGAAAGTTAAGGTAATATACAAAATTTGTTTGAGAATTTAGTAAGGGGAGCTAAGGGAAATTTATTTCACTTCATTTTTTAGAAAGTATATAAAGTAAAGGAAATGTAAGAGAGAATATACCTAAATTTAAATAGGTAACATTATATGTTATTTCACCATTTTGGATCTCATCTTGATAAGAGAGTAAAATTGTCTTTGTGTAATATTTTATTTGTTAAGAGTTCCCTTTCCCTATATTACACACCAATTTGGGGAACAAAAGCTCAAGTTTTTCTCCCTCAATGACCCATTATCAATCCAGTGAAGCTTCTAATTAACTTTTGACACTTTGCAAAAAAAAAAACTTCTGTATTGCCTATTTGTTTTCACCTTACTATTAATTTCTTGATTCTTCACATTATTTCTACAACATTCTATTCCTACCACCTCATTAGCATGCTAACTATTATCTTATACTGAAACACATGTCTCTTTATCGGTCACTTGTGACAATGAAGTTAAATTTTGTTCCTCATATAACATTACACCTTGCAAGAGAAATTTGTTGGAATCTGATCTCGAGCACTGTTTCAGTGGACTTGATTTCTCCGCAAATGTCAAGCAACAAAAAGCAAAAACAGATCAAAATTGAAAAAGAGAATTAGAATATTCTACAGAGACTTCAAGCTATTTTTTGAACAAAACCTATCTGATTCATGATTTCTGAAACTTAAATTTAGTATTCTGGTCTAAAACCTTATTTAGTAAGCTTTTGTAATCAGTGCATGTTATTTTAGTGCTTTTGCGTTGAGAAACCTAACTACTTGATATGATTATGATATGTTGGATATTTTGTTTATCAATATATTGATAATTATTATTTTCATTCATAGATATATATAATTGACAGGTATCTCTATGTGCTTTAAATATTTTGTTTGGAACTAAATTTTATGCTGCATACTAATTACTTGGTATAGAAAAATATTATAACATCAATCATATAGACATTTTGTTTGGAACTAAATTTTATGCTGCATACTAATTACTTGGTATAGAAAAATATTATAACATCAATCATATAGACATCATGTATTTTATGCAGTTTTGTTATGAGAATAGGAAAATTATATTTTCATTCTTTTTTAAAATTTAATATTAAGTCAAATACATATACAGCTAGATTGTATCATTTCTGAATACTTATATATTATTATTATTTTATTTTGTATTCTTTTGTTATATCAATTTTTATATATTAAACAAATCCGTGCATCGCACGGGCCTGAAACTAGTTATATGTTATTTCACCATTTTGGATCTCATCTTGATAAGAGAGTAAAATTGTCTTTGTGTGATATTTTATTTGTTAAGAGTTCCCTTTCCCTATATTACACACCAATTTGGGGAACAAAAGCTCAAGTTTTTCTCCCTCAATTACATTAACTCCCCGCAACCCCCTCCCAATAATATCTACCTTAAATGAATTCCCAAACATAGTTAATGTGTCCTCTGTTATGTATTACCTTACATTAACCCCAATTTAAAAAGGCCCTAAAGGGATGAGTATATCCAAATGTTTTTTTTGTTGCATATGTACCTGGCAAATATAACATATTTGCAAATCTACTTTCAAATATAGATATTTGCTGATTTACCTCCATCTCCTTATCCTTCAGTTTTTAGACGTCACAAATATACCAATAATTAAGTTAACTTACATAGAAAGAGAAGATGCTTGTTAATTTATTATCGTCTATCTGTCATCTCTCTCTAATTATAAATAAAATTAAATTAGATTAATATGATCAGGGGTTCATTAGTGATGTTGATAATTTGGGGTAGGGGAAAGAAAAAAAAAACTAAGTAGAGTAAATGAGCAATCATTCAGACTCAGAAAATGAATCTGCAAATACGATAGATTTGTGGGGATATATATGCAAAAACTATATCCAATCTGTATATCCCATGAGCAGACAGATCGGCCCATTTTATCTCTTAGGGGGTGTTTGTTTCAAATCCTAAAATTTTATGATTTGGATTTAAATATGGGATTTGAAATCCATGGGTTTTTTTAACATGGGTTGAGATTTTTAAAATGTTGTTTGGTTCATCGATATTGTAGGATAACAAATACTATAATTTGTAACATTTTGTTTCGTTTAAACTCAAATTGTAGCATCACAAATTTTAGAATTTAAAATCTATAGTTGTAGCAAACAAAGTTTAGTATTACCAAAAAATCATAGGTGAATATAAGAACATTTAGTGAGCTTACATCCTACAAAAGAACAAACACAATTGTATTCAATTAGAGTAACCATACACATTCAAATTTAAACTCCAATGGCTATAAACAAACGGTCATATTTTGCCAATGACTATAAAAATAGCTCAATTCACTAGCTTCATGTGCAGTTTGTTTTTTTTTTTTTTTGCAAGCGAGAAGCCTGCAAACATCATTTTCAGCAATTAGGATGGAGATGCAAAGAAGGTGCGACTGTAAAATCCCGACACCCTTGAAGCAATGTAAAAATGGCAAAAATATTGACCGTTGCTATTGGGGTTGCACTAAGTATCCAAAGAAAGAATGTAATTTCTTTCAATGGGCCAATGATGGTGGTAATTACATGAAGAGTATCAACAAAGACGGCATGTAAGTATTGGTTGAAGATAGGAAAAAGCTCAAAATCAGGAAATTAAAGTCATAATTGAAAGTTGCAGAACATCAAATTCTAATTTGGAAAATGTGTGTACTCTTTTTAATTGTTTTCTGTATTTCAATATTTTATGCCTTGTTCTTGCAAAATGTATTGAAGCTGAAATGAAATTTTTATTCTCGCAAATTCAGATCTCCAAAACTAACTTTAGACAATGTAAATAAAAAAATGTAAAATTAAATGATAATATAGAGGCTCAGAAAATGGTCATTTTTTCCAACACCTATATAATGAAATTGCATTGTAGATTGCATTCAAATAATGGACTGCCTCATCTAAATATTACAAATGCAATCTATACTGCATTTTCATTATTGAATGCCTCCTATAAACAATGAAATCCCATTGTAGGTGACATTATCAAAATGCGACCAATCATCATAGCTAAATCCGAAAAACTCAAAAACCCCACTTTTTCATCCTAGAATTTCATATTCGTCCTATATCCCACAAAAAGCTTGATGAACAAGATGATTACAGCAAACCCAAGAACCATTAGCAACAAGTTGATTACAACAACGTATCAAAAACAAGACATAAAAAACCCAACAAACCCACAAGCCATCAGAAACAAGCAACCGGTTAATTACAACAAACCCGCAAGCCATCAAAAACAAACAACAAAATAGGATAGGCTGCAAAATGTAGCAAGGTGATTACAACACGCAGTGAAATAACCAAGGCTGCAAGCAAGCAGCTCAAACCCTAAAATTGGCTCAAAGTTTAGGCAAACTAAATACAACAAGTCACTGAAAACAACCAAGTGCCATCCTCTAACCAAGTAACCAACACGTTGAATACAACCATCATAATAATAGGATGTCACCAAGCTTGTATCAATTATAGCATGAAAAAATCAGCCACTGAAAAACAACTAAAAATAGAGGAAAAGCATCTGATAGTAATTGAAAACAAGAAGAGCATTCTCAGGAAAAACATCAGATAGTAACTAAAAGTAGGGGGAAAACATCAGGTAGTAACTAAGCAACTGGCAAGAAAGAAATAGAGAGCAACATAACCTAATCTACAAGCAACCAACTCTAACCTAGAAGGTAAACACAACCAGCAAAATAATAGGAGAAAGCATCAGGTAACCCACAAGTTCAGACCTGCCAAACCAATACATACTCAAACCTGTCATGCATCAGTAACCCACAAGCTGCCACCAAGCTTATATCTAGCATGAAAAAACCAGACACTAAAATCAACTTAAGCATGACCAAAACCAACAAAAACAAGCAGCCAAGCATAACCCAAGCAAAATAATAGGGGAAAAGCTAGTAACAAATCCACAAGCCATAAAAAACAAGCAACTAAGCATGACCCAAATCCAATTATTTTAATTATATATAGCTATTGTAGGGGCTCAGATATAGGTACAAAAATTGAAAACATGGATTTCCTCATCTAACAATGAAATTGCAATGTAGATTGCAATCTCATGGACAGATTGCCTCACCAAACATTATAAATGCAATGTATGTTGTATTCTCATCTAGGATTATCCTACCTAAACATCACAAAGATATTGTAGATTGCATTCTCATAATAGGACCATCAGCATTGCCCAAATTGAAAAATACAAAATAGCCATACTAATACATAGCATGCAATGTATGTTGCTATCAAGTATCATGTCCATTCATGCTTGCATCATGTTTCATAATATATGGATATATAAACCTGCAAAAGAACCCAAATTATAAGGAGATACCATACTAAGAAATCAAATTGCAATTGGAGCAGTGAAATATGCATCATGTTGGTAAAAGTAGTGAAATATGCATTAAGTTACATTACTAAGTGTTCAACTTACATAATTAGCAACACATCCATAACTGCTCAAACTACATCACTACGTAGTGAAATATATAATGAGTTTACAAAAGTAATAGATATATCAAGTTATCAAAATATCAAGTTTTTAAAAGTCAAAACCAAAATATGACCTCCTAGAATCCTTGCTTCTTAATAATCTTCTCTATAAATATCTTTTGAGCATTTTTTGTTTTGATGATCAACCTCCTAGAATTTGATTCATGTTCATACAAGTAATCAAGAACTTTATCCAACGTGTCCT